GGCAGCGCCTCGCGGCTCCTCTGGTTCCTCCCCGTACATTTCCGGTTCCGCCGGCATCCGCCGAGCGGCCCGAGAAGCAGGAATAGACGTGCACTCGTAAGGCATCCGGCGGAATGCAAACGCCACGTGACCTCCAGCCTGCAGTTACGCCGGCTGTCTGGCACGCTTGCGTCCTCGCCGCTTCCATGTCCGTTGCCAAGGGCTCCGAGGCTGTCAACAACTCGGCCCCTAGAAAGGTCCCCTAAGGGTCACGCGGGCACTTTTGATCGATATCGGGCCTGGTCCGGATCAGCTAGATCGCTCGATCGCGCTTGGTTTCCACAAGCAAGCTGCATAAGAGAGCCAATCACTGCTGAGAAGACTGACACCGGCTAGACTTAATCGACATCAGCATGTGAAATTGGTATAATGCGCAAACTAACGGGCATGACGGGCTAACAACTCATCGCGTGAAATCTACAGATGCAGCAAAACACTCGCGCGTACTATATATTACGAGTCTCGCACCTTTTCTATGAGTGCGTCCACTTCATGTCCGAGTGAGGAGCCCTCCCAGCAGCATAAAGCCAGCTGAGCAACCATGCGAGCGCTCTGATGTGCTTTAAAAATGATGAATTCATCAGCTTTAAAGCTCTACAACGAGAACAATGGAGGTATGCAGGTCATGCTCCTCCTTTCTGATCATTCATTTTCTTGATTATTTTAGTGGCAGGGCTTAGTTGCTATTTTATGTACACACAATCCTCCGGAGCGCTCGAAAACCACCAGCCGAATGTATACGTGCAAAAAAAGAAAAAAATCCTAGGATCACTGGCCTTCTCGGGCCTCCAACGCGAGCTACTCTGAGGGGGTTGTCGCGGTTTCTTCGAACACCCGAACTGACCGACAACGTGTGATTATTCGCCGACAATGTTATTGTGCAGAGCTTGAACGGCACTGTAGCCATGACTTTGTTGTGTTTGTTTTGTCGCCTTGCGGTGCTTTTCTGATTAATTCTTTCACATTTCCATTTCTCACCAAAGTACAGGGTAGTGAATCTGAGGCTTACTTTAGTTAATTTTCCTGTCTTTTCATTATTTCTCTCTCTCTCTCTCAAACAACACTTCTAATACATCTAACTCGCCTTGATTCCAGATCGATGTCGACAGCATTCATTTTAGACTGTCTTCTCGAAAAAGACAAAAGTCACTGTTCAAATTATTCAAGACAACAGACTTACACAGGCGGTTATACAAATACAGTGATGTTGTTTAACACCCGAGATTCAAGAAATGTGGCATCACGTGTGTGCTCCTTCCTTCCCTATGTCCCGAAACAGTGCAACTTTCGAACCGTTTCGTTCCTTTCCTCGGAGCAAGGTAGAATTTAGACAGCCTAATTTATTCCTGATTTTGCTCTCTCGCCTTTCCGTTCCTTCTTGATCGGCCCCAGTCGCTCCTGCGCAGAGGCTACTTTATAATGGTTCGATAAAAGATCAAATAAGCATTGCTTTATCGCTCTTGACAACGCAATATTAGGCAATTCGCGCGAGAGCAAACGAATGAGTTCACGCCTCCTGAACAATTGTCAACATTCCGGCATCTATCTATCTATCTATCTATCTATCTATCTATCTATCTATCTATCTATCTATCTATCTATCTATCTATCTATCTATCTATCTATCTATCTATCTATCTATCTATCTATCTATCTATCTAATAATTGTAAAAATGTGCGCTTTCCGTCACAAGACAACGTTAGCCAACAGTTCTGAAACTGCGCGCGGAATTATGGTAGCCCCGCCACAAACAACCCGTCGGCTTTGCACAGGCACGAAAACGTTTTTATTTTTTTATTTTGCTCCTCCTAATCATATATCACATTCCAAGCACCTGCGTAAGGTGAGCGATGTAAGGAAGCTTTGAGGATCAAACTCCTTTAGTATGGCGTTTCTTAAGTTCAAATTTGGTGGTGAACAATTTATTCTCTCTGACAGCATGTAGATTCCGTCGTTCGAACAACTTTATTGAAATGTCATGCGAGCTTTTCGGATAGACGAAGGGTTCCACCTTGGTGAGGGCCAAGGGTTCTTGAGATAGCGGACAGATTATTTAGCTCGCATTTACTTTGTGGACCATTTGCTGCATCTGCGATTCGTTTCCCCGTTTCAACGCAGAAGTCTCATATCTCATTTCACCCATAGAATAAGAATCTTGCTGAACGACTGCGTGGAATTCATTCCCTGCTACAACAGTAATCCTTTTGTTTATACACGTGTGCAAGAAATGCGACACGTGCAGCACATCTGCAGTGTTCCTCTTATGGGAGCATCGAATCTGCAATTTCCTATAAACGACGGAATTTCATAACGATGCACTAGAGGGAGCTCTGTTGTCAGTAATCTATATGCGAGTCGCAATGTCTGGCGTTTTGAGCCGGCATCGATATTATGGCTGGTACACGGATTTGCCTAAGCTTCGTTCTTTCGGCTTCGTGCGGCTACTTGTTGTCGGCAACGGCTTCGGCAAAAGACGAACTTTGGCAAAAGGTCAACTTTGCCACTACACCATCTGGCCCCTTTTAGACTAATAAATTCATATAAGCTCACGGGGTAAAGAGCCATTTTTTTAATCTGGAACGAAATTCAAAACGCAACAGTAACAAAGCCACAAGCTCGAAATCGTAGCCGCAAAGGTTGGACAAATCCGAGTACTACCTATATTTCCGCAGTGGCTGGACAACCGCAGCGCCACAGTTTACTCCAGTAAAAATAGTGGGAAACTGTATGCTATGGACTATGAGCTCAGAGATCATCGTTGTGTGCACTCCGGATGGATCTCGAAGGCTGCATGCTTGCCCGCAGGTCACGCACGCGCGCCGAGAAGCCTACGCGCTCTCTCAGCTGACATAGGGGCGAATCTTGCGGCTGCATATGTGCGCTTGCTTCAGCTTCGAGAATTACGTTTCTCGGACTGGAAGGTCAGCGCTGCTGGAACCTGCAAGATTTGCGCCGAAAGCTGCTAACGCTGCCTCCGGCAGGAGCTTCGCAAAACCGTGTTGAAACCTCGAGTGAGAAAAAAAAAGAGAAAGAAAAAAAAGGAAACCCAACAAAAACGAGAGCTGCAAAAGCTACTGCTGCTGCTTCGTCGCTTCTGCAGTCGAAGGCGATAACAGCCGCTAGCACCCGTCTCTCCCTCTTCGGAAGAGGGCTGTGGCCCGGGGAGTCAGCAAATTTGACACTCTTTGAGAAACATAAGTCAACGCACTGACGTCGCAAACCCCGGCCCAGGGCATGCAGAGAGAGAGAGCGTGTGTGCATTGGGCCGCAGGCTCGAAAACGTGCTAATTTGACCCCTGGCTGTGAGGTCGAGCGATATACTCCTGCTCGAATGACGGCGAGGCAACATCCGAAGCAAACATTTCAAGCGTATAGGCCATAAATTAACCCGTCAGTTTTGCAGGGATCCGTGCAAACTACAACTCGATCACTGCTATCCATCGCTTCCGGCTTCGATACAGAGGAGAAGCTTTATTTTGGTGTTCCGGTCGATGGGTCGTAATGCACCACCGCATTCACAAACACTGCTGGAAAATGCAATGAAGGTTTCGCGTGGTTGGCTGCGGAATCTGCTGACGTATTTTCATCTACATCTCGCCAATGCAGATAACTGAAGCGAATCATTACGGAACCGTTGCCATGTTTTGACAAGCTGCAACTGCAGCGCAAGACTGGCGACTCTGTCTGGCAAGCGTGAAGAATCGATAATATAATTTCAGGGCGTTTACGCGCCAAAACCAAGGTTTGCCATTTATCGGCGTACCGTAGTGGAAAGCTACGGAAATTTTTACCATTTGGTGTTTTTTTTAACGTGTGCTGCCATATAAGATGCCCCCAGCATTTTAGCTTCTTCGGAATGACAACGCCGAGACAGGAGACTCTGGAATTTCGGATTGAGAATAATTGAACGCTGGAATTTATAAACTACCACAAAACCCCGAAAATAACATGATAGCCTAGTTACATATGGTTATCCTTTCTTTGCATCATATATACTGTTGTTAAGCGCAACTCTGTATTATACAGGGCGTCGGCATCAATGAAATCACCCCACGTGAACCACTCCTCTGTTCCCCTTAGGACATTCTGGGGCGATAGCAGCCTGAAATCGAGTCCGTCTCTATATTTATTGCCACATATCAATGAATTGTCATAAGTAATGGAGCTTCGACGACGAGTCGCACAGATCTCGCGAAATGAAATGAACACCGTCACGTCATACGTCATACGTAAACCGAGCATACCGTCTTGCTTCTGCGACAGTTTCTCATGCTTTTTTGGTGGGATATACGAGTGCGTCCTGCCGAAATACGTTCCGTATTTCGCTGCTTTCATCTGATGCTTCGATTTTACACTGGGAATGCGGCCTTCATTGCTTGGTTTGTCGTGTGGTGTGGCATGAGCAACTTAACTGAGGCACTGAGTCCGAAACTCATGCTGGATGCCCCGACGTCGTATAGCTTTGGCAGTTTAGCTCATGATTCCATCATACACGCAATCGCAGTTCCGCTACTGGTCAAGTCGTGACGTGGCTCTGTCGCACTTAAAATTTAAAATTACTCGCGAATTTAACGAAGGTATACTCTTTGGAAACGCGCCCACCATTACGAAGCATTAGAAGTACGTAAAAAAAAAAACCTACGTGTGCTCCCCAGGGTTACGTAGTCAAAGGCACAAAGGAAAGCAAAAAAAAAACTAATAAAAAAATACTGAAACGCAGCACGCTTGCTGCGGACGGCCTAGCATAGAGAGGCTCCCCCTTCTGTCACCGGAGAGCGGACCAAGCAAGCCGCGCAGCGTTAGTGCTGAGTCAAGATCGGCCCCCCGAAGGACTACCGCCACGCAGCCAATCACTGTCGCCGTTTCTCTTTACTCGAGCGCAGCCGCCAGTGGCGGGCCCGGGTCAAGCCGGACGGTGCCGCACGGGCTGAATATTGTGTCTCGCCGACGGTGCAGACGCGGAGGTCCCGGTGAAAGAAAGAAATCCGCCGCGTTGCGCATGCCCCGCGCATTCGGTGCATCTCGCACGCACTCACACACGCCGCCGCTCCACCATTTCTCTTTTTCTGCTTTTTCTTTCCCTGCCTCCGGCAGTTCCTCCCAGTGGCCGTGGCTGCTAGAGCTTGTTAAAAACGCTTCCTCGCCGCCTTTCGAAGACACCCGTTGCACGTCCCGTCGGCTCCGCTTTTTTCCGCGACGGCTGCCGCTGCTTCGACGACGCCGAGTCGGTTGTGGCACTCCCGGAACCTTCGACGCCGAGTCCGCCGACCGGAGCACTGAGGACACATCCGCCGCCAACGCAGTGCCGGCTGCGCTGTGCCGGAACAGGCAGCTCTCGGAGGGGGCACCAGCCGCAGCGCTCGCCTTATATGCAAGGTAACCCCGGCTTTTTGATTAGCGTCGCCTATCTTGTCCCTTCCCTTGAGTTATCAACGACAGTTTCCGCCCGCCCACCACCGGCCGCAGCGTGCGAACCCTTCGGCTACGTGGGCCCGATATAACGCAGTCTACGGGCCTGTTAGCGGCTGAGCCCATATCAACCCTCGACACAGAGCTCCCGGTTCTCTCTCCGGCGCCCGTATCGGCCAGCAGGGCCCGATAAAGGAATGCTCGCTGCCTAGTTACGTGGTGACCCGTATTTTTTTAGCCTCGATTACATTATCGGTTCGAGCTCCCGTGGTTGCCGATGGGGCACCAACGGGGCGGGGACTGGAGCTGTCTGCCGTCGCTTAATCGGCAGTCGTTTGCTCACATGCATTTTGCGGTGGTGCTGGGACGGCTGCTATCCACACGGTCCCGACGCGCTGGAAATATGCGTTAAGATTTGAGGCTTTGCTGTCGTCGCGTGTCACGTTTGATTACGTTTCATTGAAGCATCCAGTGCAACGTTTTCATCGTTTTTGAGGAGATGGTCGCTCTTACTTTGGGTACCTCGCGGTACAAAAATGCTTGATTTATCTTCGCATCGCGCTTTGTATCTTGCGAAGCAGGTCTTCACATCTTGGCGAACATTTTTGTCATGCAGGCTAGCAGTATTTTTGAGCTGAATAAATGTTAAACGGTGAGGTTATACCTTAAGAAGGTCATTTTACGAGCGTACACAGTTTGACTCCTCATTATTTCTGAACTATATTCAATCAGCGTGCACAATTTGAATGTACTTACTTGTGATCTTGAATGCTTTATTCGCAATTTTTTCGACAATATGCTTAGTTATCCGGCACTTAGATTGCGCATGGAAACGAGCCATAATGCTTGAAGTCTGACGTTGTGCCTCTTTTGGCACTGCAAGCAAGGAACAATGCGTGGACTGTGCAGTCCATCAACCATTCGGACTGTTCTAACGGACTGCTCACTAGTGCAGTGCGGCACTTTTTGAAGTTGCCCACGCTCCGCGAACGCCTTTGATGCATTAGTGTGTTTAGGCAAGTTGGTTAAAACTTTGATGTCTAATGAACTGAGTGCTTTGATGCCTAATGAACTTTGTGCGCACGGAAATACCTTGTGTCTTTTAAGAGTGAAACGTTTTTTTTTTTTTTTCTTGAGGAACTTTCTGGACTTTCTTCACCTCTCAGATTGATGCTCTCGTCTTACCGAAGTGCGCACACACGGGGCAGCACCCGTGTAACGAAGTGACTTATACGTATATTATGTCATCTTAACTACGCTTAGAAAGGTGCTGGTTGATGACGTTGTTTTTCATGCCGCAATTTAGAAATATCATTAATGGCAAAGCTTAATTATTGAACTTTGCCATGCACACATTTCCGCTTGGTTTGAAGAATTTGTTTCCTCAGACTCCGGCCCAACTCACCGACAGTTAATTTTATAATCCGCAGAATTCGTTCATTCTATAGGGCATTCACACAGCCATCAAACGCTGCGTCGTGCCACCGTCACTTCGGAAAAAAACAAAACAAAAAGCGTACTGCAGACATGACGGGTCAGCGTATCAATAGGCGACGACGATGGTAAAGCCGACGGTAGCATGCTTTCACGCACTGTTTATTGACTGGTCCCATGGTTGCCTAAACCTAGACAAGGGAAATCGTTATTTTGCAGTTAAATAGGTTCTTATTCCGGTATTGTTTGCGACAACGTATACAGTGTAGTAGCCCATCACGAAGACGACGTTTATGTTATTCCAATGCACCATATTGAAAAAATATTCATCACGTTTGTTGCCATGACAACCACGTATCAGCTTTCGTGAGGCTGAACGGCTTCATAATTCTGCCTTTTTTTTTATTTACTAAAGTGTGGAGGACAGTGACGACTGCATGAAGCTCGGCGACGAAGAGATATGCGGTTGTGACACAACTGCAGGTGTCGCACGGAGTGAAGACCTCTGGCGGGTCAATTCCGTAGGCGCGAATGTTTTTCACCACACCGGTGGCGAAAACGTAGAACACCGCTTTGTGAAGATGTCGATCCGTTCTCGATGTGACAACAACGAGGAAACCGTCTCCCCAGGTGAAAAGTGGTGCCGACGGCTGAGTCAATGATCCTCAGTAGTTGGGACCCCTACCTATGGGCGAAGCTGTAAATGGGAATGTCTGTCTGCGCGGCGGCCGCATTGCGAACAAGGCAAAAGGCTATCGAGGCCCGTGTGTACGCTTAGAGAGAGATAGAGATAAATAGAGAGGAAAAGCAGAGAGGTTAACTAAGCTTGGCTCGGTTGGCTACCCTACACTTGGGGTGGGAGAAAGGGAGAATAATAGAAATGAAATACATAGAAAAGAAGACGAGTAAGAAAGAGAAGAATGAATAGCCAGCTCGAGACTACACAGCACGGTAACACGCTGTTCTTTCACAAGCGCTCGCGAAGTCTGGTGTTCCTTCAGAAGTACAAGATGGCTTTCGTGGCTTTGCTCATTTAGGTGCGTTTTACGGAACCCCAGGTGGTCGAAATTAGCGGGGCCCTCCACTACGACGTCTCTCATAATCGCATTGCAGTTTTGGGACGTTAAACCCCAACAATTATTATATCGAGTCTATTTGCAACTCGAGAGCTCGTAGTCACGTCACTTGAATGGGAACATTCGTATGATGGCATACTATCATAGCCGTACAATTTGAATGGAAAGCGAGGTTCTGAGTAGCTTTACAATGGTATTTTGCCTGTGCCAGTGGTTACCCATTGTCACTGGGGTCCCAGTGATCCACTTTGTATCGCTTCGCAGTTCATACTATTTTTTTTTTTGGCGGCATCACTGCTGCCAGAACCGGGTTTAACACCAGAGCTGTCAACTGCTACCGCGATAACTAGCAAATATTCATAAAAAAAGAAGCCCCCCCCCCCCCCCCTAAAAAGTTTTTTTGAAATATATTGAATTCTAAAAAAAGAGTTGAATCAATCTCTTCATTTGCGAATAAGAGCAGATATTTACTCTTTAGCATATCTGCAGGGTAGTGTCATTCGCTTCAATGCTTTAATTGTGAATTCTACTTTTTAGCATATTTCCAGAGTAGTGTCGTTCGGTTCAAGGTACTTTTCCCTGTGCATGGCTAACTTAATTATTTGTTTATTCTATTGGCATGTTGCTTAGTACAGGAATGAGAAATGGGATGAACAGATTACAGAATAGAGGGAAGAAAATAGTGATAAAAATAATATAAACAAATATGAATTCTGGAAGCGAACTTTGACTTCAACAGTCAACTACTCAAAGACATAGACAAATGCGCTATTAGTGAATGACAAACGGGCAATTAGTGATCTATCCCTCAAATAAGTATGTCTGCTGAAAAAGAAACGTAAATAGCCCAGTCATAGTGAAGTTTAGCGTGAACACTAGACGAGATACACACGACAAACGCAAGTCTTTTAACTATTGTTTGCGCTAGACTTCATTATGACTGACTTGTTCCAACCCGCCCAACAAGCCGCGTTGTTCAGTAAATAAGCCCCCCCCCCCCTTACTCATCAGAAAAGAAAAAAAGATGCGAGGAGAAACTGGCGAAAGAAGCCATAGTCCACTTATTATAAAGCGGAACTGGCAACTTTAGTTGAGATCCGCATGCCGCTCAAGCAATGGCGTGTCATACCAGACGTTGCCACTCATGTCGCGTGAAACCGAGATGTTCGAAATGAAAATACTCGCCCTCGCGTTATTTCTATTTGTTAATTCAGTACCGTGGGCTTTTTCAGGCCTATACAGTAGAGAGCGTACAAAGTGAATATTACTTGATTTTGTGGCAGAGAAAAAGAAAGGGAAAAATGTGCAATATAAAGCAACCACAGCAACGATAACAGCATACAACGAATAAATGAACAATACATAGAAGTGTTTCATGGGGGGGGGGGGGCGTAAAAAAGAAAAAAAAACAAAACTAGCAAACTTGATAACGTCAAATAGTAACATGTTTGAAACAGAGATGCAATCTCTTAAACACGTGCGAAAACGTGCGAGTAAATGCACGATACATAATTTTTGCCTTTCTTCGCACACAGATGTAAAACCAATTGCAATGCCTCTAAGTGAAATTCCAGCAGTGACGAAAATGATTCAAGTGATTCAGCACCAACGGCGTCATCCAGGAGTCATTCTACATCTTTATAACTGCGTGTATGAAATACTTGAACGTGTTACAGCATGCCAAGAATGGACGTATGCATTTCTTGTTGGTAGTTCAGCTCTAGTGGCGGTCCGGAGCTTTTAGGTATATGGCAAAGTGCACGACCTGAGACCTGAAACAGTGCAATATAATACTGTAGATAACAAACTTAACAAGGCTACGAAAATTGCACACTTAGGAAAAGAACGTGTCCTCTGTGTTGGCCGCGCTTTTTTTTGCGCTTTATCTTCAGTCTGAAAAATAAACTATCCAGTCAGCGGCTTTATTACGGATGATAATGCGCAGTCACGTGGAAAGAGGCACCACGTCTCGGCTCACATGTGCATAGTCGTTGATGACGATTGCACATGTGCCCTTGCATTTCAAATAAATGACGATTTTTCTAGCGGACGGTGACGCAAGCGAATACCTTGAAAGTTCCTATCCAATAGAGTGCTGCCGTAATTTTTTGGAGAATTGGAAGAACTTTGTAGTCACTTGTGCAGTCTGTGATAAGGAATAACCTTTATGAGCCTTCTTTAAGAGTACTCGCGCGAGCAGCATGTTTACATATCGCGCAATTTTATTACTTTCTTACTACATAGGGTAGCAGACTAAACGCTCGGCTGGTTGACAAAACACTCCAATCTTTACTTTTTTCTTCTCCCGGGTTCTGTACAAAAATTTGTTACTAAAGGCTAGAAGATGGGAGACCCCATAGGAGCTGCTAGAGATCCTGTTGGACCTGCGAAAGCGAGAACGGTGCTAGAACAAATATGTCTATGCACAAAATTCATAGTAAAATTCTGAAATTATTTGGAGTAATTAAACTTGCTCGATCGTGCGTTAAGCCTCGAAATTTCAAGACACGGCCCTCTTCAAAATTTAGGGTAGATAGTGCTTTTGGGTATGGGTCAGCGAACGGCGGTCTCCCATGCATTGTGTGTGTGTGTGCGTATATATATATATATATATATATATATATATATATATATATATATATATATATATATATATATATATATATGCGTATCAGCGTTTGTGTGTATATTTACGCACGTTGTAATGATTCTTATTCTGCATTTCTTGTGCCTACTTTTACCCCAATGCGGCCACTCTGCTAAATACTAGTACGTGTTGCCATTAATAATACAGTGTAAAATGTAGGATAGTATTGTTGTGAAGCTAACTACACTCTTTTGGGGAGCCTGTGTGTTTTGTGCATTGCGCATTTCATTTGTGTTTGGCTATGCAAGCACTGCTTCAGTGATGCCTAGGGGGATCAGGACTTCATCAAGAGGCTAACTATCATCATTTGTCCTCACTGCGGCAAGTTCCTTGTATTGTCAGAAAATTGTGTTATTGAAAAAAAAACGCAGATGAACGCGAAGTATCACCTGCTGCAAGCAAACATAACTTGCATGTGTTTTACGATGACAGGATAGCCATTGAAGCATGGTACGTAGCTCAGTCATGGACAATTCGAAATTTGTGTATGATTCAAATGGTGGAGGGAACTGTAAACGTAACGTGGTACTCACACTAATTCATTGGTGTTCACAGGTTCTGGACCTCTGAACGAGTATTGCACTTCCGTGATAATCTGTAAAAGTGTGGTGCGTTTATTTTATGGAATATCGCGTTTTCCCGAAAGATGAAGTGAATGGGGTCGAAGCTATATACGCACTGACCTTGCCCATCCAGCGCTGAAAAAAAAAGAAAAGGATGGGAAAGCCGCTTGTTACCCCTTCGGTTGATAAGAACTACGTGCTTATCTCTTCACAGCAGGGCCCGAAACGATTCGGCCTTCCTACGCGACATTCACTCCGGCTATCTTTGCAAACAACTCTTCTGCTCCCTGCCATCCTATATCTCTAGTCTGGTGTCTTGAATCCTGTGTGCCCAAGACGAACCTAACTGGCATCCCCACAGCACAAATTTAGTTTTTTATCTTTTTTTTTTCATTTTCGGCTAACCTTCTGCTTCGTCTTCCCCACTCTCTTGTGCGCAGTGCCCAGTCTTCGAGGAAGTGATCGGTAATCAGATCGGCATATAGATGCGCCAGTTAGTCTCTTCCACTGCGCGAAGCTCCGCAAACATGGCTGACTTGAGCAATAATCAACAGCAGCGGGAAGCTTCCCCAGCGGGAGTGCAAACGTGGCTAAAGCAAGAGCGCCAAGAAGAGGAATCCATGGAAGCCTCCCCCGTCAATGCGAACCAACAGCGTGAGACCCCGTCACACACTCCCAATGACTGTTCCCCGGGATCCCCGCCGCAGCCTCAGCAGCTGCGGCAAAGCGAGGGCGAGTATTCCCCTGTCCTGGCAACTTCGCGAGACGCTGACAGGGGCAGCGGTGGTTCATCGCCCCAAGTGCCGGTCATCAAGCGCGAAATCATGGACGACGACCAACAGCAGCAGGAGCCGCACAGTGCGGGCATGGCGGCTTCACGAGCTATGTCCGAACAGTTCTATAACAAGTACAGTGGGTTCGACGAAGGCGGCTTCTACTCGCCGAATGCGTGTCTGGCAGGCCTTCACTCCGTGGATGGTTCTGTGTCGACTGTGCTCCGGTACCAGCCGGCCTCTTCCAGCGCGACCGTGCAGCCGCCATTGTCACTATACTCGCCTCCGGCATCTATGGCCAGCTCTTCGGTTAACGGCACGCGGGATGGCACGCTTCCAGAAGAACAGAACGCCACCTACTCTCATCTGACCCCGGCCAGCACCGATCCTCTGGGCTACGCGCCCGGCAGCCCATTCGCCTTGCCGACCACGTCCGCGTCGTCGGTGCCTGTGGACCACAAGAACTACCACCCGTACTCGCCCCCAGATTCTAACTCGTCCCCGAGCCCAGTCCTTATGCCAGCGCCGAACACAATGTGGGGGTCGCAGCCCCAGGCATCGCATCATGACGAATACGTCTCGTCGTCCAAGCTGGCCAACACCGTGCTGGGCATGCCTGCCAGCCGGATACAGCACTCGTCGCACCACCACCATCGCCACCAACAGCTGCAGCAGCAGCAGCAGCAACAACAACATCAACTGCAGCATCAGCAGCAGCTGCACCAGTCCCTCATAACTCCCCCGAGGACACCGCAGAATGGCACGGGCCAGCATATGGGCAGTGCGTACCCGCCCTTTCTCCAGGGGATAGAACACCACTTGGCTCCGCACTCGTCCATGGGGTGGAACCAGGGCGGAGACGCTGCTCACGGGGTCATGACAGCTGGATTCGCCAGTTACGCCACTCCCATGAATGACAAGAGGCTGCCCCCGAACTTCGGCGAGTACCGTGAGTACACCTTCTTTTCCCTTCTCAATGTCCTTCCATCGAACAGGTAATCTTAATATCTTATCACGCTGGTTTAGAGAGCTGTGCGTAATTCAGATGTGTTGTCCTGGTAACAGCTTCTGACATAAGAAAACAACAAAGATCTACTTTCATTTCTTCGGTAAAACGACAGACAGACAGACAGACAGACAGACAGACAGACGGACAGACGGACAGACGGACAGACGGACGGACAGACGGACAGACGGACAGACGGACAGACGGACAGACAGACAGACAGACAGACAGAGAGGGAGAGAAAGAGAGAGAACTTTATTGGGTCCTCAGCAACGCTACTCTTCTAGCAACGTCGCGGGCCGCTCCCACGTATATAGGAATGTGGAGGCCTCACCGCCGCATCGTGGGCTCTCTGGCCAGCCCGTAGTTGTAGTAGTTACCCCACGAGAATGATATAATCGTGACGGGAAAGGACGGCGTGGCGATATCTAGTGTAACGTTATTCAAGTAAAGGTCATAAAAGGCTATAGCGCGTCATAAAATACATTCTCAGAGGCTGGGATTACCACTGGAGCGCAGGAACTTACAGGTAGTGTTCACGGGCCGTCAGTTTTCGACATTTCAATGTATGGTTTGGCGGTACCTCTGCAGATTACCGATTGCGATTAAGCTTTCACTGCGCTGCGCTGTCAGCGCAACGACAGCCTCGATAACGCCAGTGAGAATGACGCCTTATAGAAATAAGTGATATAAAATGACGCTGCATAGAGGAGCCGGAAATGCTTTTTTGACTGCCGTGTCTCGAACATTACCTACTTGGATAGCCGTTGTTTCACACTTCTGGGAACTCCTGAACTGACGTCATTCAGAAGTAACCAATCGCTTTTCACTGATGAACGTTTATCGCAGTGTAAATAAATTATTTAACGAAGTATTACTCGTTGCGTTACGTCGTTCGTAGCTCTACAAAGATTGCACAAGAAATGGCGCACACTGAGGCATCCCAGCTCCTAAACAACGAGCGGGTGGCCTCAAGCTTATTTGATAAGCTGATGTGACCAAATTTTCTGACGCTTACATATAATCATCCGCTCGTTGTTATTATAGCTGTAAAACAGAATAATCTGATATCGAAATACTGTCGCGAGCGGTTAATTACTTGAAGCAGTAAAGATTGCTTGTATGGCACGACATGATGTGCTTTCAGATATTAAATGAATGTTGGCTAATTGTGTTGAGCATTACTTAATTTACCATTATCCCACGCCAAACGTCCCAGCTGTTTAGCGACCATCTTAAGTACATTCGAAAAAGAAAAACGATTGGGCGGATATATTGCGTTGCAAACAGTTTATTTACTAGAACATTTCGGAGAATAAACTTTTAGTGATGTTGGAGCCTCCTGATTATCGTAGAGTGCCGTTCGAAATGATCGTCAGAATACTCAGAATATTCATTCTGACTGTAGCTTCTGGTGCCAATACTCACTAGAAAAGTAGGTTTACATGCTAAACGAAAACGTTTTTTAAAGGTCCTGCAGTATTTTTGAGCATGGTCAGAAAACACTGCCGATTGGTAGTTTAGGCATAAGGCAAGCCACGAACGCAAAGTGCACGGCCTTGGGGGGGGGGGGGGGAATCGAGCATCATGAGCTGCATAATTACCACGACTGCCGCGAGATGCCGTGGCGTGCGCGTGCTCGCGATCACTCTGGCAATCAGCCGCGCGTACGACAAAAGGAGAAAAATAAAGACTCGAAATTCTGGTTCATTTAACACTAGGTAGAAGTAGTGCCTTCGAAACACTGGTTCGTCGCCTCCGACTGCTTGCTATGTAGACAAAAAGTAAAGAATTGCACATAACTTCGCGGACAGAAATTTCACAATGCATGATCGGTCACGGGGATATAGGGGCAACATCTGAATTTTTAATTCTAAAATGTCCGCGATACGACGAACCGAGACAACTATAACGCATGCAGTTTAATAGAACTGGATCGCATGTCCTTCAATCTCGGGAAGACTGTAGCTCCACAAGCACGTGACGTCAGTTTTCGACATTTCAATGTATGATTTGGCGGTACCTTTGCAGATTACCGATCGCGACTAAACTTTCACTGTGCTGGCTACACAGTGCAACGACAGGTGCTATAGGAGCTGAACAGGTTTATGAAATCCAGTAATAATCTGAAAGTCAATTATGTGAGCTACGCTAATGAGAGGAAGCTCTCATTTTCTGTGTATACATTGACCTAACCACGGTACTTTATGTGCAAATGTAGTCCTTGTTCCCGTGGCGAGACTCTGTCAGTTTCGTTGCTGTTATGGGACTGACTTCGTGTGTAACTTTGTCCGCGTATTTGTTGTCCTTGTTACTGTATTCCTTGTATATTTTAGTGTCATGAGAGTGACCTGTATTTTGTGTTCTTTTTCGTGCCACTACGTATGCATGGCGATCGCCTTATGTGATTTGTTAAATCTTTGTATCGCTTATACGAGCTCTTTAGGTGCGAGCTTATACGGTATTCTTTTTTAGCTGAAGCTGATCTCAGAAGCCACGTTAGCGATGTGCTCCGTCAGGCGCGTCAACAATCCCAGCTTCCCAGTACTCATTAGTGAACTCAATCGCTCAGTGTTCAGTGCTCATGTTAACGGCTATTTGGCTCTTTTCCCAATTGAACTTACGCTCCGATATCGCATGCGTCCAATATAACTCTCAACGTTAACCAGAACCATCCACTACTATATATGTGTACAGCACATTAGGGGCCCACTTTGTCTTTCATCCGTAAACATGTGGCATAAACACGCTCAAAACATAGTGGTCAAGTCAGACCTGAAGCAAGGCTAGCTATGTTCAAGACCATGCCAGAATAAACGAGCAAGCTCTAAATTCATACTATTAACAGAGTTAGACAGCTAGTCTCAATAATTAACCTAACATCGCAAAAAACACATCGAAAACGTGCGGCTGACACCCGCGCCGTGCAAGAGAGGGCGCCACCGTATCGCCAATCACGCGTTTGCTTCACGCCCCGGCGCTTCTCCGGCGCATTCGTCGCTGCACACGAAGGGGAAAACAACCTGACGAAATTCGCTCCAGACGACACGCACCTCAACTAGAGTGTACTAGAACACTGTACCTGAACTGCCGTGGCAAGCAGGAAGTCGACAAAGCGCAGCGAAAAGTAGCGAGCATGTTGCACACCAAGTATGGGAATCTCTCTAACAAGAGTGTACTCGTGCCGTGGAGATCCTACGTGCTTATCTCAAACATTTACTACGTCATCGGCAGTTCGGTAAACGGAGCAGTGGGTATTCTACAAAGTCGAATCCTTGTGTGGCCCGTGCTACGCACTTCATGAAATTTCCCAGTATTGACACTGTTCCTTCAAAAAATTTCATGAATATTAAGAACACCCAAAATAATCAAGAATCGTGAAGTGTCACTTGGTTCCCATGCTACAAAAAAAAAAGTTGTGTTTAACATGAATTATTACACCCTTTCGCTATGTAGGGTCGATAAACAAGGTTAAAAAAGAGCTTTGTGCGCTGTCACTGTGGATAGGGGAGCTATAGTAGAAAGCCGTCAGTTTCCGTCTTTTGTCTCGGAAGCTTGCGCTAAAGAAATGTCATTATAATAAAAACGTCCAGTTTCTCCGAAATATCTTGAGCGTCTGCGTCCTAAACGAGTTACTGTCGCCGCAAAATTTGGCGCTCGGATTGGTTGTGCCACCTGACTGAGCAGAGATAAGTCATGCAAGCATGGAACTAACGACAATCACCAATTCTGTCTCGCTCCTCTGCCAGTGGAAAATTTCGGCAGAAGGGTAACACGCCATATAACACGCGAACACGCCATATCCTAAACAATCTCAATTTTGCCAAGAACACAAAAATGGTGGGAAAAATAGTGTATGGAGGGTATTGTTTTCAAATAATGGTGAGTACACGTGAGTATAAACGTAATTTCGAATAAGGCTTATGGTAAGGCTGAATATGAGTAGATAGGACACTAAGTAGGCAAACATGAGTGAACTTCACTCAGACTCACCCAAGAAATATATCTTCCGCTTTGAACTGATTTAGACTCAGGCTCACCGTAATTTTCCTGAGTCGGACTCACTTGGACTTAAACTCACTAAAATATTACTGACCCAGACTCATTGAGACACAAAGTCACGGTTTGATCTGAGTGCGAGTGAGTTTATTCATGAGTGAGTTCGCGGACCTATGCTGATGAACGTACGTCTGCTACACATCGGAATCCATGATTTGCAAGTACACTTGTTGAAACGCGTAATGCATTACTGGTGCAAGGAATAAAGGAAGCGAAACAAGAGAGAATACAGGGAAGTCGACCAAGCATATGTTCGGTGGGCTACCCTACGCTGGGTGAATTGAAAAGGGGAGTATAAAAGTGCGAGAGAGAGAGAGGGGGGGGAGGCGAGAAAGTCGCTGCGTATGGTATCGTTTGACATCCAACTTGACGGCGAGATGTGGCAAATTAGATATGGCAAACTAATTTACTTGCAGCAGTACGTCATCACATCATACGACACCTGCTTTTGCCTTTTCAGTCTCTCCGCTGTGCGGCAACCTTCAGCATCTAGACATCAGTGGGAACAGCAGGAAAACCCACCAAGATGGTATGCAGATCCCATTGCATGGCAGGCATTTGCAGTCATATAGGCCGGTGATTCGGGTTACGTTCGCTTTGTTTAGGGGCAGCGCTGACAGAATGTTCCTATTAGCAGTGTTCGCGTGAGTAGATAACCAGCCGCTTTCAGAGAAATCTATCTCGCAACGATGTCGGAAACTTAGAGCTTCACGTTAGGAACCGAACAAGCCACTTCTGAAATTTCTGCAAATGACTCGGCTCAATCGTTAAAAGACTATGACTTTTCTCGCTCTTCTCCCAGTCTCTCTATAGAGAGAGAGAGAGAGTTTGTGTGTGTGTGTGTGTGTGTGTGTGTGTGTGTGTGTGTGTGTGTGTGTGTGTGTGTGTGTGTGTGTGTGTTTCTAGGTATCCCTCTCCCTCTGTTCCTTTCTACCTTTGTCACCTCTCTGTCTATCCTTACGCCTTCCCAAGGGCAGGGTCGGATGAAATCCCAAATATTTATTGTCTGGTTTCATTCATGCTTTTATTAATTAGATTTATCTTCCCTCCCTCTTTTCCCTCTGTTAGGGCAGCAATCATAATTTACCAGAGATCGGTTTCCATCTAAGCACTGCAATTTAAGATCATTGTAGCCTGCTGTGTGGTCTCAGTACCCTAATTCTTGCCGCATAATCAATTTATTGCATTTCAATATCTAGAATGAATAGGGGTCCTAATCGTTTTGAAGCCCCAAAAGGAATAGCGTTGAGGCCACTGCGCATGCGTGATAACCAAACAGGGTTCGGATTTTGTGTTGGGGACGCTCCTTCTCGAAGCTAGGGGGAAGACCGAAAGCGTGCTCCAAAAGCTTCGAGTGCGTCAGACAAACGGGACGACACCCACTGAAGTGGCAACTCTCGGCCAAGACTACAGCGCCCTAGATGGGGGGAAAGTGTCTAAAGCGCCACAGACCCTATTCGGAACCTTTTAGCTTCTGCTTGACCCAAAGCGAGCACACGCCTTTAAGGGCCCCAAACTTTTGAGACCCTTATTGGAAAACTCCCTATTCATCTTGACGGTAACGCGCCATATCTGCGCGCTCCCGTAAAGACAATAACCAAGTATCCGGTGCACGACATAGTTGTTACCTTCGAAAGTATTTCGCATAGCACGTCGCCTTTATTTACCTGCCATAACCAGGACGTGCGCAGGGTTTCTTTATTAGCGGAGCTTCGTCGAGCCCCCCCCCCCCCCCCCCGGATCCAATCGGAAAGTAAGCAGGCGTCCCAATGAAGGTAAAAACGAACATCAGGCATTCATGCTTCTCACAACGGCGTGCCTTCGGTCCCTGCGGCGCTCAGGGGCAGATTTTGAACTGCTGCGCCAGTTGTCACGTGATCACAAAAGGACGGGGGCAAACTTTGGCCTGGGTGGAACCTTCGCGCAGCGACGTCGCTATAAGCACCCCACAATGTCGACGGCGCCTGCCAGTGTTTACAAACACGTAATATGTCCATACACCACACACCGGTGTCGCGCTTTTCGTTCGCGTGAATTCGTGTGCGACGTGCATATTGCAGTTATCGAGCGATGCTGCCGTGTGCAGTGGTCACCCGTCGCTCCTAATCTGGGTCGTTCGCGGCGCTGTTTATTGCACAGGGCCGATGTATCTGCAGACGGTCGATAAGGCACGATACGGGGGGGAAGGCAGGCTAGTTCGCGGGGCGTGCTGATAAGGCGCACGTATACGCCCGAAGCCTTGGCGCGTTCGCGAGCGCACAGACCCGCATCCGTTCCTTACGAGAAGGCACGCCGACTGCAGCCCCCGACGGCCGTCACCGCATCTATAGCAGCTGGAAGAGTCGCCTGGCAGCATCCATGTTCCATCTCAAGCACCGATTCGTGCAGCGAGGAGGTACGATCTCGTGGCGGCATCCGTCGGCTTTCTATCCATCGTTTTACCTGCTCTTTTATCCGGACTTGCGTGTCGCAATCGGCATGGCGACCCATGACCCGGTGGGTGCGCGTAATCTTTGCAATGCAGCGTTCCATGCATTCGTATGTGTCGTCGGTAGCACGTCACAATGCATGTCGCAAAGGCGGGTTGCGGATGATGTGGCTGGTATCGGGGATGTTGTACGAGATATAAGGTTTACTTTTTTGTTTCTTCTTTTAGCTTCTTCGCGAGTGCTTCCTTATAACGAAACGGTCTCGAAGGTACATTCTCGCCACTGTGGAGCGTCCCTCATTGTCATAAGCTTGTACTACTTCACTTAGTGCATCGGCGAAAGCTCTAGGGGTGGCTTGCAGGCGCGCCACCAGTGGCCGGCTCGTCGAAGCGATTGCACCGTTATCGTACCGGTCGTTATCACGTGGTGTGGGTGTTCTATAATAAGGACAACGCTGATTTTAAGTATACGTTCTTAGATTACGCGTGCTGCGAGTCGTGAGCGCTTGCTGTTGTGACAACGACGACCCAGATTGTAAACTGCTGTTTTACGCAACGTGCGCCTGCGTTCCACGAGATATCCTTTACCATCCGAGTGCTGTGATGAAATCGTGTGATAGCGCACGAGCTGGATCGCAGCTTTACCGTGATGCGTTTTTTTCGACACGTCGAAAAATTGAGTTTATTCTTTTCATAAGGTCTTAATCTCACAAGTTATTGTGAGGATAGTATAAATGACGCGTGAAAAAAAAAACAAAGAAAAAGAAAGCCAATGAAATAGTGAGTTCGTACTTATCAACAGAAGAGAACAAAACGTATTTATCAAACATGGATAGGCCTTGACGTATGAAACAATATAGTTGTGGAATTGCAGCAGACAGCTTCAAAAATTTATAGAGCACTTGGTCCTAGCAAATCTTGTTCATTTCCCAGTAATTTGCAAGCACATTCGGTCTAACTGTACCGTACGTTTTAGCGTCTTTTAGAACACGCTAGAAATATTAATTCATAAGGGTACCCGTCATGGGTTCTTGACGTTTTGTCACTGGCTGTACATTGACAAATCAAAGGAACCCGTATCTGACACACACACACAAAAAGTCAATACTTGCAGCCCGACCCGTCTATTCTCCTTGAATCAACCAATGTCGCCTCTTTTGTTTTCATAGGCTGATTCGCTTGAAACCCTTAAAAATAAACTGGAATGCACTTTCCTCTTCAATCTAATCAATATATGCCTCCATAAGTGACCGATATTTGCCCGTTGTTTGTGCGCTGGAAACGGGGGAGTGCTGAAAATAGTTCGCTTCACGGAAACTCGAAGCTTGTCTCCCGCGCATATAACGGAGCCTCATCCACCTATCTATGCCTATCCCTCCCTCAAGATGGCAGCGCTCAGAGATACACAGTTGTTATTCCGAAGCTCTTCCAGCTCTCGTTATCTCGAATAACCGATATGGCGACGGTCTTGAAAGCGCTGCCCACTGGACTGCCGTCGCGAAGCGAGGCCGTCTGGGGCGATCAAACTGCGATAAGGTGACGTGACACGGTGCATTTTTTTCCTCTTTTTATTTCATTGTATACGGCGCGTAAAGATAAAAGCCTCGACTCGATCTTGCATCTCGACAATGCCTCTCAAGTGGGAGGGTGGAAGCGAATCCGGATTCATCCTGTAACGGGGGTTATAGGGTGGGGGGGGGGGGGGCGTTCTACTATAGATAATAGTCATAATAATAATAATCGTAATATCTGGGGTTTAAAGTCCCAAAGTGACAATGTAGGTATGAGGGATGGCGTTGTGGAGGGCTCCGTAAGTAACGACCATCGTGGTGTTTTTCAACGTGTATACTGACATGCCAAAGAACACGGGCCTCTACATATTCGCCTTCATCAAAAAGCAATCGCCGCAGCCGGGGATCGAACTCGTGACCTTCGGGCCCACGGTCGAGCACCAGTAACCGCTGCACGGCCGTGGTGGACGTTGTAATATATCGATCGAGCTGAGTGGTATACGCGAGCATTTGCCGACCCGAAAGACGCAGGCTCCGTCCCGGCCTTAGCGGTCACAATTCGTTGGGAGTCGAAGTGCTAATGATAATTTCCGGGGTTCAACGTCCCGAAACCACGATTATGAGGAACGCCGCGGTGGAAGGCTTCGGAAATTTTCACCATCTGGTGTTTTGTAACGTGCAACCTAAATCTGTGTACACTGGCCTCGGCAATTTTGGCTTCTTTCGGCTGCTGACCCGCAGGTCGCGGGATCGAATCCCGGCTGCGGCGGCTGCATTTCCGATGGAGGCGAAATGTTGTAGGCCCGTGGGCTCAGATTTGGGTGCACGTTAAAGAACCCCAGGTGGTCGAAATTTCTGGAGCCCTCCACTACGGCGTGTCTCATCATATGGTGGTTTTGGGACGTTAAACCCCACAAAATCAATCAATCAATCAGTTTTGGCTTCTACTGAAAATGCGGGAGCCACGGCCGCAACCGTACCTTTGGGTCACCAATCGAGCACCATAACTTTTAAACGTCGACGATGGAATTGCGAAATGCAAGGCCTGTGTACTAAGGTTTTGGTGCACGCTACTGTAGGAGGTCGAAATTCTCGAAGCCCTCCGCTACTTCGTGTCTGATAATCATATCGTGGTTTGGTTGTATATAGCGGAAAGATAGATAATATTCACGTGGCAATATAGAATGACAGGAAGTTGATATACTTCAATAGGAATTCAAAAAAAAAAAAACACACTAAAATACCGTGTGGTTGCCGGAACAGACAAAAGAGAAGAGGTAAAGACATGAATAAGCTATGTGCAACTAAAAGGTCAGCCACATTTGGCTGGAAAAGAAGGCAATGACAAAGCTTACGTACACGGGCTATACAATCGGCCAAATATTTAACTATCGCGCATGACTGACCGTTTTCCTTTCTGTTTATCTTGGCCATATGACTAAGTTAGGTTCTACATGGCGAGTATATACAAGTGCATGCTCACAAAGTACATGCCCACGAAACAATTCAAGTTCGTTCAATCATTGGCATTGGCAGGCAAAAAGTTGAAAGTTTTGGCCGGCTGTACCTTCAACCTACTGCCATTTCCTC